GAAGTGAGCAAGGCTTATTATAATTTTTTAAAAAAATTGACCATTTAAAGGAGTCATGCATTAATAATTTTTTTTTAGAAAAATTGATTGATTTTAATCTTATGTTCAATTTTTATATTGCTTAAATAAATTTTAACTTTGTAGAAAATTTAACATTCTAAAGAGCCTAACGTTGACTCCGTCCGAGCCACACCCAAACAAAAGCAATTTAAGAAATCTAGGAAAAAGCATACAGTTCTAATGCGCAAGCAAGATAAACACATCATCACATCAATAATAATAATCAGAGTATTCAAAAATCTGTGGTAAGTGCCACTTATCATACAACCCAAGAAGTACTAAAAAGTAAAGGTGGTCGGGTTCCATCGACAACAAATCAGATTCTATCCCTATGAAATAATGCAAGTCTTAAAAATGAGATATTTTTGTTTATCTTCATCTTCTTTCCCTTCAGGCTCCTTGTGTTGCACCATCTAATATGATATCCAAATGAGAAGAAATTCCCTATAAAGGATTTTTATTTTTGCTTTGGATGCCTAACATATTAAAGATATATCATTTAAAAGCTTTCACAATAATTTAGATCAAATTACATTTTATATATAAAAAAAGAAAATTATATTAATCACCTATAAAAAAATACATATCAGCACAATTATAATAAAAATCACAGATTATCCAGAACCTAGTCCTTAGGACCATATTCCCAAAGGCTTTTTAAGCATTCCTCGCGGTACCTATTGAAAAGAATATTTATGATGACAACATTTTTTTATATTGTCCTTTAGGAGCATGGTCATCTGCAGAAGATATTTCTATAAAAATCTAACCACTTAAGGGCAAATGCCCACTCATCAATCAAAAGGAAAAGAAAACAATCAAAGAAAAACAAATCAAGCCAGAAACAATCATCACATCATCACATATGCAAAATATAAAAGAAAGAAAGTGTAAAAGGTTATCTTAGCTACACCCTACCCTAGGATGCCTATAAAAAGTGTCCTATCCAGCATCTAAGTGTGCGCAAAAATGTGTACCTAACTACCTCAAATTAGATGAGTGGTTTGAGTTACAAGGTCGAATTCTTATTTTTTAATTTATTAATCCTCAAATGCATATTTAAATGATTATCCATTTAGGATGAATTAATTGCAATTTGATTTTAAAATAAAATTTGAGTTATTAAATTATTAAGAGCCTAAAGGCTTAGGCCCTAACCTATACTAAGATTATAAGGAATTGAGAAGCAAATGACCCATCCTCAATCCTACTCCTAATTAAGGACGAAATTATTAAAAGGTGACAAGGGTTGGTTAGTCCTTCCATTGGTAATAATCTAGGACTCGAGCAATGGCTAAAGGTGACACCACTAAGATGGGCCTACTATCCACCATGAAAAAAAAAATCCTAAGCTTCCTATGTCTAAGGTAAATTTATTTTTAGAGGCTGACATGGGAATGGAATAACACACTATCTATAGAAATGTATATGGGTTCTACCTAACCTAAGTTATAACCTTGGGTGGTTAAGGTAGTTGGTTTAGGTTCCTAAAGATGGCTTTAATTTTTTTTATTATTTATTTATTTTTTAGAGAGGTGACAATTTATATAGACCTTTGTATTATTTCTCCTTAATTCATGAGGTACGTGGCATTGTCATAGTGGGCTCGAGAAACTAGCCTCCTTAGGACACTTAGCCCCGCAGCTCAAGGTAGTCCATCCTATATACCTCATGTATATTAAGGGAGAATGTACATAGATGAATATAAATTCTACATGGGTTAAGGCACTAAGGTATGAAATTCATTTGCTCCTCCAACAAGTTCATTTTGGTTTGCTTATAATTAGGAGACTTTAGTTAAAGTTTAAATATTAGTGTCTTAATATTTTGTTAAACACAAGAAAGTTGGTTAAGAAGATTTTAATGATTTTAATTTAGTTTCATCTTAATTAAGGTATGTTATCATATTAGGAGTGGGTGAGAGGTGTATTTTACATATTTTAAGATTCTACTTGAGTAGTTAATAATTATAAAACTGTATATTGGTTGAGGGAATTTTAGAGATTGTAGATTAATTAAGGAATTTTTAGGAGTTGTAATGGTTTATGAATTCAATTAGATGCTCATGTGTTGGTTACATTTTATTAGCCACTTTTAATACTTAATACTTAGGTTTCATATATACTTCTTATATTTTCAAATTAATTAAGATAGGAGTTGCAAGATTTAGTTTATTGGTAGCTTATTATCGTTTACATAAGTTAAGCGATAATTACCTTTGTTAAATCAGGGTCATGAGGTTTATTTCATCCTCCCAATAGCCTCGTAGGCCCGGGTCGCTAAGTAATCATCTTGTTATTAAACTTTATGTTTGTTGTTTAATAAATTTTAACGAAAGATTATCATTATGATTGGTTCATTAACGATTTAAGATTGGTTACGAATTCATTAGTGTGTTTTATTAGTTGGTTTTGTGACTTTTAAAGGTCCTTTTATATCATTGTTGGAGCAAATGAAAATCACAACAAAGGTTCTACACTAAGCTTAAATAGTAAACAAACACACTAATTATTAAGGAGTTGCAATCATAAAAATAATCGAAAGAAGCTACCTAACATACTAGAGCACATATTTTATTTCATTTGTACATTTTCCTTAGCATGCTTGTGAAAGATATATTAAGAGGCCTAAAATCATTAAGAAGTAATTTTTTTAGAGTTATTTATTCATTATAAAACCCAAAGAAAATCATCCTAGCAGTGTCCACTTCGTGTGGGAAAAATGATGTATATGATACACATATGTGACATACACTACATGCCTAAAATGACCATAAGGGTCTCTAGGTTTCATGACAAGGGGGCAAGCTTTGTCCCAAAATGTCAAAGCTTCGTTAGTGGACTAAGCTATGATCGGCTAAATAAACATCATAGCAAGCATATTTGGGTGGGAAAGTAAAAGAAGTTAAATGTGTGTTCTAATGTGTACCCATTCGACAATACAATGAGGAGTCTCTACAGGACTATCAAGGTATACCTGATCCAGGCGTGCTCACTTAGAAGCTCCCATGCCAACGACCCACTGATCAACGCATATGCAATACTCAATGTTCCTAGCAAAATAATAAGAAGAAGACAAATATGGAGTGAGAGCAGGCACTATTCAAAAAGAAGCATGTTGATAGTGATCTAATTACTAAGAAGTTCATATGCATCAGTCAAATACATGTCATCTATTAAAACATAAAGAAAATTATAAAATTTTGTTAATCATAGGAACATTATCCAATGCTATCTCTCATTCATCCTTTTAAATTTGACATGAGTGCTAAAGTAAACTAGGATAAATTTATCCCCATATGCTCCTTTTAATATATTTTATTAAATACATGAACATGGTATTTGAAATAAGAAAAACATTGGTACACATGCTCTTAATTGAAACATAGAAGTGCATAGAACTATTTAATATAAAGTATGAAGGGTAACTACATATGAACTATTTGAGAATCCAACAACATGCCATCATACATGCTTGAGAAAGAGATATTGACAATTAAGATATCAAGGCATATGCATATTTGATGTGACTAAGAGGAAGACACATCTAGGCGACTTCTCTTCCTCCCAAAACCCATAAAATGTTTTAGCATAAATTATACAACCTCATGTAAAGCATATATATCCAAACACCTATGAGCAAAGCGTGGAATGAGTGTATCTAAATATATAAGAATAAAAGAAAATAAGAATAACGATTGTAGGTGAACAAAAATATGGAATAAGTGAAACTAAATGACGTAACCACAAGCATTCACATTTATATGAGATCAAGTTCGTGTATAGCATTTAAGGTTCAAGAACATTTGCAAATATTCATTATATAATTATAAGAAATAGAATTTTACCTACACCATAAACTTTATAATAAACTCAATCTACAATTATAAGCAATTATCCATGGAATAAAGAAATTAAAGCATTACAAAAGAATGAAGCAGGTCTTTACCTTCCAGGTGAGAAAAATTGTTCGTTGGTTAGCTTGCAAGTTAGGCACCCTAAGTGGTTGTGTCGGTCAAGTAGATGCCTGGCGGGTTGGATGATTGGAGGCAGCCAAGGCGGCATTTGTCGAACTTACGATGACGAGGTCTGGCTGGATAGAGTCCGGCAGGTCGGCGGCCTGAGGCGGATGGGAGGCTTGTGACAACAAACGATGGGGTCGTTTGCAAGTTCAGTCGGAGTCGTGCATGGAGACGGCACTGACGGCGAAATCTTTACCGTGGACGTCGGGTTGAGCGTCGACAACAAGGTGGACTACAGAGGAGTGTCGGGGTCGGTGAGGTCAGGTCGGCGGGCCAACAGGAGCTGGAGTCGGAGTGGCCGTAGCTAGTCGGATCCTAACGCGCTCACGCAATCCGTTTATCAAAACAAGGCCTAGATCAAAAGATATTGCGCTCGGAACAAACATGAGCGATAAATGTCCAAATGTGTGAAATCACATTGAATCTTCATCGACCCAACCACATGTATTTTAGAATGAAATAGATGACAACATGTGATAAAAAAGGAACGATCCTGAGACTGAAAACGAACCAAGTAAAATGCACGATGTGATCCTTCATCAACATAATGGTGGAACATACAAGAAAAGAAATCAATCTACAAAATACAAAAGTGACAAGATCGTGCAAGTGACCGATGCCAAAAAGGAGGTCAACAAAAATGAAATTCTAAAGTAAATACAGATATAAAGAAAGAAATCTTACCCTCACATATTAAGCATATATTGTAGCATTAACAGATTAAATAAATTTTCTAATAAAACAAGTCAAGAATGGAGAAAATATCCCTGATTCATTGAACCAGCTAGCTAGAAAAAGATTGTACACATGGTCTGAAGGCATCAAATCATTATCCCGCAAGTTTACTATATATATATATATATTACTGAACAAATAAGGAAAAAAAATTTTGAAAATCTCTTGTGATTAGATCCAAATATCAAGAAACTCAAGAATGAACTTTTGATAGCTAATTGAATGAAATTCAAGCATTAGAAGCTTAAAATATCATCCCTGCCATTAAAAGAGTAATCGTTAAATATATAAAATGTAAGAATTAAAGCAGTGGCACTATACTTGATCCACAATAGAGAAAAACTTGTCATACAATTTTGACAGAAATGAGACATACACATATCAAACTTCTATTTACAACAATGTAGAAGATAGCCACTAACTAGCATGAGATTGTGCTTTCCTTCCTTGGTATAACCCATTTCAGACACTGAAGCCTCTATGAAGAGAACTCCGTCGAGTGGATGGAATCTGGCTGCAAACTTCAGCAGACACCTTAGCCATTGTCTCATTGCTGATGCCAGCATTACAAATGTTAACAAAAGAGCGTATGTATTTCATACCATAATCAGATAGAGATCCACAATGTGTTTCAAAAATCCGAATCTAGAGAAGGAAATGCAAATCATACTTAATTGAAGTCACTCAATCTTCAGATGGAGAAAATCGAAGAGAACTTCAAGAAATTTACCATTGAACTTAGGCAGGCCCAATCGTCAACCAGAGGCTGCCCTGTGTTTTGAACTGCACTAAGGACTTGTATGCCTTTCTCTGATCCAAAGAGAAGCTTCCCTATGAGGTTTAAACTATTATCTACATGCACGCGATGAGTCAGTATATCAAGCAATTCTTTCTGTGCATCGAGTTTTTTGGATGATCCTTCAGGTGAATTAAGGAACTGTTACAAAAAAAGGGGAGAGAAATATCATCTAGATAAGTGGTCTATAAGAAAAGATAGTCATATCATATGAAAATACAATAGCCTACCTCATTCCAGTAATCAACGAGGTCTACATCACTCTGGCTTGAAAGACAGTCATCCCACTTCTAAAACAAGTAGCAAAATTTATCAAAACAAGTAAAAAATTACAATCAATCAGATTAGTGAAAACCAAAAGATAAGGAAACACATTATGATCAGCATGAACAAAGTTAATATTACGCATTCCCAAAAGATGAAAATAAAATAATAATAATAATTTTGTTTGGGCAGCTATCAGCAGTGCCACCGCACCTCGAAAAATTGTTAGTTACGACATCCGGTTAATTCGGACACGCCACATCACTCAGAGCCTGGTGCATCAAGGTGACATGACACGTCCAAATTGGCCTCATAACCCTTATAAGCCACACCTAATAATTTCTAACTTTGCATAAACGGCCTTTCTTGCTTTTGTCATCTTTAATCCATTTTTGTTTCCAAACAAAGTGGGCATTGCGACCAGATCGATTTAACGTCTTCGCATGGCACGCCATTAATCCCAAAAATTAAAATGAGAGAAAAAATTCAAACAAAATAAATCTTTAATCTAAACCCTCATAGAAATGTATAGTAAATTCTCTTCGCAAGCCGACTAAATCTTTAATCTAATTTTGTTTTGTCAAAAAATATAATCCACTTGAAAAAAGGCAAGATGATTATCAAATAATTAATAGTGACAAATTCAAACCAATCAATAATCTAGTTTATGATTTCCTCTTAATAAACAATTATGTTGATGTTCTATACGCTATATAGATCCAAAACATGGATATGACGGTGATCCAATGTCCAAATATCATCCGGAACAGTTCTAAACAGTTTCTTCATCTAATACATAATCACACAATCAAGCTTCATGAAAAATCAATTAAATCATTGCTTCGTGAAAAGTCAATTAAATCAGATTAACATAAAATTTACCAAAATAAGTAAGCAGAAAATTACAATCAATCAGATTAGCGAAAACCAAAAGAAATAGGGAAAGCAAATACCTGATGTCGGTAATTCCCACAGCCCGAAGATCCTGCAATCGGGATGGCCCATCTCGTCCCGACAGAATCATCCCCACCGGCTTTTAGGCGGCGGCCAGAGATTTCTGACGGCAATCGAAGGACCGGATCCAAGGGAGCGTAGGAAGGTAAGAGATGACAGGAGAGGAGGGATAGGAGAGAAACACAAATAGCGGCGATGCTAAAGAGCACTAAAGTCTTGTATCTGATGGACGCCATTGTTGCCTGCATGAAACTCTAAGGGGCTGTTTGGTATCGGATTTATCGTGGGATTTAAGTCGGATTTACACTAAATCCAGCCAAACGGTTTTTGTGCGCCAGTTAAATCACGGGATCCGGTAAATCCGGATTTGCAGATTTAGGGCTTCAATCCCAGATTTGCTAAATCCCTCAGTTCGTCGGATTTAACGTGATTTACCCGAAGAAGCGCGTGAAAGGGAGAAAATTACCTTCACAGCCAGCGAGCTGTTCTTCCTTCCAATCAAAATATCGTAACTTCCGATCGGATAGGAAGGCGTCGAAGGAGCAAAGTCGAACAGCCACGAAGGAGCTGAAAAGCGACGCGTGCAATCTGCAAAAAGCAACGAATTGACCCTAAACACCTGCAAAAAGCAACGAAGCCGAACAAAAACGACGAAAAGAGACTAAGTTATTATGGACCGGATCCAAGCGAGCGCTGCAGCCTTGCTAACTACCGGATTCAATTGACTTTTTTTAATGAAAATACGAGAACGAGGAACCTATGAACCGATGATGGAGATAGATGAAAAAATTAAGTCAGAACGGGGTCGTTATTTATGGCAGACGGTGGAGCGCCAAACAGTAAGCCCGCGGGAAGCTGCCTGGGCTGCCAGTCGCCCTTTACTATTTTTGCGTTTATTCTCAAAAAAAGAAAAAATTAAGTAAGAATTTTCTAATTTTATTTTCTGATTTTAAAATTTTGTATACAATTTTAAATCAGCATAAAAAAGTATCTTGATCACGAATCTTGATGCACATTGAAATGGAGAATTTTGTGGGTGCTATATGTTGATGTAATAATACAAAGTGATTGGTTTTTTTTATAAGCTTAGGAATTTGGGTTTAGGGGTGCAACCGAGTCAACCCAGCTCGTGAGTCGGCTCGGAGCATAGTTTCGAGCTCGAAAGCTTGTCGAGCTCGAGCTTGAACAGGCGTTGGACTCGACTCGTCGGCTCGACGAGCAGTTCGACGGCGGAGCTTGCAGGCGGGAAACCAAATCGCGAGCGGGAAATCCAAATCACGAGAGATCGCGAGCAGGAAATTGGAATCGAGAGCAGGATGACGACGGACGAGCTCGGATGACCCCTTCCGAAGACAGCGGAAGCGACTACATGCTCTGGATGACGACAGATCTCTGCTCGACGACGACGGATCTCTGCTCGACTTGGGACGACGAACACGACGACAGACTCGATTGTGGAGCTCGACTTGAAGCTGAGTCGAGCTCGAGGTCGGATTTTGAACTCGACTCGAGTTCGAGCTCGGGTTTTTATAGCCGAGCTCGACTCGAACACCCCTTGGCTTGAGCTCGACTTGACTAGTTTGCACCCCTATTTGGGTTCAATATGATTTGACTATTTGTACATTAGAGTTTTCTTTTATCTCATTCTGAATAATTCTCCATAACAAATTATATCATAGCTCAAAACTTGGTTGTAATAAAATGCAGTTCTTGCAATTTTGTGGTTCCCATTGAGCTTTCTTCCTTCTTATTATGATTGAACAATATTTAAGAGCTGATGACTCAAAAATTGGCTCTTCGTACAATTTATCAAATCAAATTTTAATCCATTTTGATTAAATCTCCCATACAAACATGTCTATTATTTTTTACTTCCACTAAAATACGAGTACTTTTTTTGTATTTCGAAATGATGCATCTCTTAGGTTAACAAACATGATAATTTCATTTTAACTCATTTTAATAAGGTAATAAAATCATCAATTTTAGAATATTTTGAAGAAATATGTGATATTTCAAATCATTACTGGCATTAAATTTTGTAATTTTATTATTTTGATAAAAAATATGATTTTAACTTCAATTAATTAATTAATATGTCAAAAGCAATGAATTGGACTACAATTTTAACATAATCATCTAAAAATATTATCATAAGTCACATCATTTTATGAATAATGTTAGTCAATATGAAATTTCCTTTTAACTATTATGCTAGTTTACATGTGATGGTGTTTTGTCATCAAGAGATCATGTCCTTAGTTGATTGTTTTAAATTAGAAATATTTTTTTAAATGATAATGTTTAGTAATTTATAAATATTAGCTGAATATTTGATTGTAGTAATCAGTTAATTTCTAACAAGACTTCATAAAAATAATAATTATTTAATTATTTCTAATTTAAAATTACTATAAAATTAAAAATTTATTATTTTAAAATAACATTTTGTGTTTAGAAGTATACCAATGAGCTTTCTAGAGGTTACACTTGTTTGTGGATTTAGATATTTAGAAGTGTTAATATATTTATAGAGATTTTTAGTTATATATGGTATTTAATTATGTCTAATTTTACTTTATATTCATTTATCATCTTAACTCATTGCTAATTTTCCTTGTTGCTTTTAAAAAAGTTTTTTTGCTAGCGAGATCTATTTTATTAACATCAAATCTATTAATAGCTTAGAATAACAATATAAAAAGAAGTATGAAAATGATCCAATAAGATCAAATTCTTTTGATTGGTTCCTTCAGAGGATGATTTTTAAATACACAAAATTATAAATTACATTTTTATCTTTACTTTAAATTCAAACATATCAATATTTTTCAAACGAATCTCTATATTTAAAAATATATTACACTCCTTTTACATATAAAATTCAAACCAGGCTCTATCATAAAATATGGTAAAAAAATTTCTAAACTATCATAACTCATTAAACTAACAAACAAATCCAGCCATGACTATCAAATACTTTACACAAAAAAATCATTTATCAAGAGAATTTGAAAGACAGTGTTACAAAAGCTCGACACGAATGACATAGTCACTAATTCTTAATAAATATCGTTCCAATACAAAAAATCCAAAAGCATTGCATTACTATACAGACGAAAGTTCCTGGAAACTTTTTAAAATAAATAAATAATATAAAAAAGCTCATTTGCATGATATAGCATATTGAATTTGGGTTCATATAAGTATTTACTTATCCAAATTGAGTAAATTTCGACTTTTAAGAAACTTCAAAAAATAATAATCAAAATCGAACTATGTTATTTTGAATAATAATATATTTAAACATATACAAAAATTTGATAAATTTCTAATTATCCAGATATTGCTTAAAATAGATGGAATATTATGAATAGAAATTTATTATCTACTTCTGTTGGAATGCACCATCCTTCTCCATAGTTGGATTTGGGAAGTTAAGCGCAAAAATTTGTACAAAACAACTAATCAAATTAGAGTTATTAAATCACATACATTCCTCTATGTGATCCTTAATCGTAAATGCTTCAGTTTTTCCCTCCCGTATTCGCATACCTCACAACATCCATAGGCAATCTTCAAACCAAGCCTAAACTTCCTACTTCTTATCCCAGTAAATATTAGTTCTCCAATGGTTCCTGCACCTTCTTTCAAAGGAACATGTAAATAACCAGTTATAAGGGGTGTCTTTCCATCCTACTCGTTTACTACATGACTTTCAAATTCTTCTTCATCCTAGTCATCATCATCTTCATTATTAAAATTGCCCTCAAGCACCAGAATATCAAGTTTTGCAAAAGACTTGAGTCTAGAAATTACAACATGACCCGTGTTGACATCAATCAACACAACGTGAATTGTAGCTCCTTGATCTCCCCTACCTTTCCTTCTGTGAAAATTGGTAAAGACAATATTGACTTGAACTGCAGTTGTAAGTTTCTTCCATCTGGTACTTCCAGCCATATAAAAAGCTGCATAGCACACACACTAAAAGATTGCAAAAATCTTATGTTATGGCCATATAAAGAGTTTCAAAGAAATGCGTCAATTGACATTTTTCGTATCATAATGAGAGAATTTTTCCAAAAGCATAGACACAAACAATAAACAGTTTCCTAACATATACCATAAGTCAATCACCTAAAGTGAATCGAGAAGTGATTCACAATCGGGCAAACTGATAGGCTGGTCACTCTGAACCAGCCCAACCGGCCCTTATGGAGGCGAAAGCAGTCCGCCTCCTCTTCTTTGTTCCGCCCAAAGGGGTGGGCTC